TAAATATCAAATTGATTATTTATTTATTATATATATTATATACAAATATATACATATACATATATATATATATATATATATATATATATATATATTTTCTTTTTGTACTTGACTCGAAACGCTACCGCATTTCTAAATAGTTGATCAATACAAAAAAACCTACTAAACCGGTCTTGCTAAATACCTTTCGTCAAAATACTATCCCAATAAAATAATGCGGATGGGAGTCGGGCGCTTTGAAGGAAGTGTTTTTAATTATAGAAGGAAAACGATGCAGCCTAAGTACAGCCGGTACTAACGTCGTCGAATAAAAATAATAATGGAACATAATATATCACACAGTGACATAAGTAATGAAATGACCTATACGTAAGTATCGTGTATAAGAATATAGATAGGTACCAATAGAGTACCTACCATGTCTACGTATCGTTATGTTCGTGACGGTCAATAACCGAATAAAAACCGTATAAACGCATGCATACGCGCGATGAGGAGTTGCAATCGTGGCTTTTATATATTTACCATTGGAATATGGTTAGTTAAGACATATTTTACCGTTACATTCGTCCGTTGAACGAATTTTATTATTTTCAGCGAATTAACACTACAGTCAGGTATAGGTTGGAATATTGTTGTTGTTATTTTTTTTTTAATTTTTTTTTTAAGAGAATAATTCATTACCAAGAGAATATAACACGTTATAGTCAGTAATTTGTGTACAGCTACTGACTGACAAAAAATTATAAAACTATAGAGTTGGACGAGTATTGTTTATTGATGTTGAGTTGAGTCGATTCGAGTTTCAAATATTTCGAGCCGAGTCAAATTCAAAATTCGAGCAGTCGTAAAAAAAACTCAAGTTATTAAAAAATGCCAAGTACTCGAGAAAAAAAAGTCGTGTTAACCAATCTGTATAAAATTTCGTTATCATAATGATAAAATATCATAACAATAACAATATATTGTCATTAATTAAAACCATGAATCTTCCTGATGTTTTCTATCGAAAATGATTAGATTCCAGTTATTTATAGTTTTAAAATTTATTTTTCGATATAGTAGTGAAATATATTCTCATATTTATGAGTACAAATATTTTTTTGTCAAGTTGAGTTGAATACTCGAACTCGACTTGAAAAATTTTACCAAGTCAAGTACTCGTCAAACACTATAAAACTAGGAAGATTTAGTAATAAGTAATGGCTATAATTAAATTATAATTAATTCAAACATAAGACTCGGTACTTACTTATACCTGTTAATATTTACACATTAAAAATTGTCAACTCACAAATTATTTGAACGATATATATTTTTTCAGTAGATAAAAGGAGATAGAGGTCGTAGAATATGTACAATTGTTTATTATAATAAACAATGTGTTTAATATGTAATATTATATTACTGATATACGAGTATGTATATTATGTTATATGCACTATAAATATAGTAACTAATCATTATATTATGTAGTTACTTATCGAAGTTATCAAATCAAGGTCACTCGCCAAGTAACTACTTAAGTCCTGCCCTAAACAAATTGTGATACTACGGGACACTGATTGTACTCCATAAACTGTTTAAAATATCTTTTTATTTTTCGACATTTCCTCCGGTGTCAACAACTATTCGTAACTGGCCATTGAAACGAATCCGCGCATATCGTATACGTATTATGTATATCAACATATAACGTAGCACTAACCGCAATGGTCCACCAAGGACATCATCGTCGTCGTCGTCAAGCTTTGCAGTGCGACGGAACGCATTATTTTTTCGTATATTAGTATCATTCCGCGTCTCCCCCGTGTGCGTTAAACTTTGAAGCGGAAGCGTTATATAGTGAATATGTAACACGGACGTAATTACTGAACGACTTAAATGGTCAATGTATAATATGTAAATGCATGAATATTAGACATTTAATAATAATTTAAACCGTCCTTGCGGTAGACGTAGAGGAGGTTGGTGCACACACACGCACATGCACATGGTTCATGATTTGATATTACGTAACCATGCGATGAGGGGGTAGTAATATTGTTATTACTACTAGGTATTATTATTATAACTACTTCAGCAGTGGTTCTACAAAAACGATCAATCAACCGAAGGATACGATGTTTCCGATAACCAACGTGAATGCACGTGTATCGTATACATCCATGCGTGTACACATACCCGTACGTCTTGTGATATGTACGCACGTGATTCGCACCGGTCAGCTGATTGATCGACAAAAGCTAATCCGTACGACCGTACGTTTATACATGCGTGTAGAAAGTTTACTACGCGTTAGAAAAAATAAAACAAAAACGATTTTCCGAATCCTACGAATACCGAGGTGCACGTGTATTGTTCCAACACCTGTAGATTAATATACTTATTCGTACGCATCATCGTGTAACGACTAATCGGCGGAGAACAAAACGTAACGTTAACAAAATTATACTGGTGCCAGTGGTGAGTCCAGGAATTTCTTTTTTTTTTTGGGGGGGGGTGAGAGGTTTAAAAATATTTTTCCTGATTTGGTAGGGGATTAACCCCCAAACCAACCCCTAAATCTGTCATTGACTCGTGCGCAGTTCCGGTGACATGTCGCCACGCGTTATTCGGTCGGATGCGACTGCGGTTCGCAGCAGAACTGGCTACGGAGGAGTGTACGGTCGAACGCATTTGACGCGAGCGCAAACGAATACTATAACGCCGACGAACGCCCACGGCAAACATAATAATATTACGCCGCATAGCGCTGCTGTGGGTGCGTGCCTATAACGTATCGGTACAGGTATACGTGTTATGATCCAAAAAATTCAAATGCGCGCAAAAATTATGGTCCACATGCGCTCGAAATCGATCACTTTCACTGGTCCTGCTTTCACCCGCGGTCGTACCTAGACGTCCGCGTGCCGGTGCTGTGCGTACACACACACACACACACAAACACAACGACAACAGCAACAACTCTGCGGGCGACAAAAATACTGCAAAAGTATACGCATTCGCGAATACGTCAATGTATAATAATTAGGGAACGGAAGTTTATGTGCACGTATATTATATTCTCGTGTCCCGAGAAACATAACACCTGCGTAGTTCATGCGTTAAGATAGTATAAGTGTTGTGTTCAATTGCTTTGGTAACATTATACGTTATTTTATAGTATAATAAAATACGTTTTTGTGTTATAAATCGGCATTGACTTCCCGTCCATTAAAGGTTATTAACATTATTATAACGATTATTGGATAAGCATTTTTCAAATAAACAGAACGCTTTTCGTCTCCTTTGACGCTTTAATTAATTCCGTAGGTTCATCAGTGCAATTGGTTTTATTGCATTTACGATAATATCGACAACAGTTGATGTTTTTGATAAAAAAAAATCGGAGTTACCGTGGAAGTTACCCCATGGGTAGGAATAGGATTTTGATAAATTTGAAATAAAAGAAATTGCAAAATCTAAATGAAAAATAATATTAACCGAACACCGTAGTGTCTCGATGTATTGGCGCGGACGTATATTTTTACTCGAACAAACGAAAATAATTGAAGTATACAAAAATACGCATGATAGATATCATGTTACACATAGATACATGGTGTGAAATCAATTTTCGTCTTGCGTCCCCGCGTTAACAATTTGGGCTTTGAGGGAAAACTTACAAAAAAACTTACACCGACACATTACGGTTACAATACATCCCCACTTTCTAGCGTAACAACACTTGCACGACGACGACTACGTTTCCTCGGATCGCGACACAAATCGTGTTTTTTTTATACGCTATCGGAGATGTTATAATTCGAGCCCGAGCTAGTAAATATATAGAACACAAAAACGGTAATAAGCGGTAACAATACCGGCCGGCACGTGGTGAATTTACACCTGTAAAACGCTCGTATAGAGACGTGATGAAAGTACGACGTTTCGAGGAAAGGGCGAGGAGAAGGAGGAGGTGGTTAAAAATCGAGATCTACAAATTATTTTGTGTAATGACGTCATACTGATAATCGCACGCACGGCGCAAAACAAAAATACGAGAATCGTTGCGTACAGGAATCCTTCAGAAGACGCGAATATAATGGGAATACGATTTTTTACATCGTACGTACGCATAATATGGGCCACGCTTTCTTAAACCGTTTTTTCGGACACAAATCGTACGCACGTAAACTCGTCGTCTTCGCGTGGGAAATTCAAGGACCCTCCTGCCGCCACCACGACGGATATTCTCTGCCACGTTGTATACAATACGAATGCGACAGTACAATAGCAATGTTCAGCGGCAAACAGCAGACGATTACGAAGGATTTGTGCAACATATCCATACGCATACGATCGTTTTCTACGGTACATAAAAAAACGTTTCCAGGTCAATCGCGTATTGTGAATTTTTAAATCTTAGGACCCGAGGACGGCAACGAATCCGACAGAAATTTAAAACGCAGAAAAAATAAATAACAGAACCCAACGAGGCTCGTCGCACGGTCGCGTAGCGCGCTCGTATCGTTGCCCAAGGACGAATACGTTAACGCCCCGGCTGCAGCGGTTCGTGGCGCGACCACCCCATATACGACGACGACGACTGCAGCATTATACGTATTACGGTGCACTTTAGTATATTTGTTTCCGTTTTTTTTCCATCCTTTTTTTTCCCTCCCCCTCCCCACCCGGTCATATGATTCGTACACGAGCGAACGGGTATTACAATGCATAAAGGCGTGTAGCGCGCACAATGCGCACAAAGCTCGGCTCGGCGACGGCGGTCCTGCTGGGCGTAGTCCAGATTTAGAAAAAATCACGTATAACAATACGCGAGTCTCGACTATTGGTGCTCGTGTATGCGCGTGCCCGTGTGTGTTGCGTGTACACACGTGTGCGTGCGTGCGTTTTTTTCTTTTTCTTTTCGGATATCGAATCTCACACGACTGGAATACTTAAGTGGGGCTGAGGTCGCGGCGCTGGGTAGGACGTGTGCATATAAAACAAGAGGCGAGCACCGGCCTCTCACCAGTACCGATCTTCATGTTATCGCCCGCGAAAGTGAACTCGATTTCATAACATAACACACATACACACACAATAAAAATAAAAAATAGTTGATATATTTTTACATTTTTTTTTTTTTTACCTCTCCAGTGATTCTCGCCCATTATTTCCAAAACATTTTCACGGTTCACCATCAAACGAAGCTCACAAGATGATGGTTTATCTACTCGCGTCCGTCCTGCTCCTCGCTGTATACCAAGGTAACAACAACAACTGCAGCACATTGCGTTTGCATCGCGTTTTGTCTATGCATTTGCGCGATAATATTTATTTACATACCTAAGGTGTAATATGCATACGAATGCTTTCGGAGGACCGTAGATACTTTTCGAGAAAATAAAACGAAAATTAAAACATCGATAATCCCTATAGATTATACGCGTGTGTTATGCAGTCACGATTTACGTCATATTTGTCCGTATAAATTGTCATAATAACATTATTCGCAGTTTATCCATAAAAAAAAAAAAAAAAAAAAAAAAAAAAAATCGCGCGCAATTCCGTTATAATATTATATACATACATACATGTATGATTATCGTACATCGATAAGTACAATGTAAAAAATATTTATGTACAATATATTATGCATAAAATCTGCGAGACGATATGAATACGCTTTGTTCGATATTAGTGGTTTAGCGTTACGATTTCGTCAACTTATGTAACTGGTCAAAAGTATTTCTAAAAATTCGTCAGTGCAACGACATAAACACAAAAATTATACTGTTTACGTTTTATTACATCATCACAATATATCATTATGTATCGGAACACGCGGGTCTGTGTGTGGAGCAATATTACATGCGTTGTCGTCTATACCTCGTATCTATATTCGTACAGTGCACGCGTGCGTATGTCTGTGTGTGTGTTGGTATATTACTCACGGGGATAGCAATTGTATACATACGTATAGTAAATAATGATAATAATAATAAGATTTAGACTATACACATAATAGTATATGCAGCGAACAAGTGAAAGAAAGAGAAAAAATTGCAGTCCGACACCATTGTGGCTGGTTGACGACGACTGCGCAGCGACAGTGTGGGAAAAGTGAAATTTTGATACGTTTCCTACTTGCTAGTGGATAGGAAATTCCCTGACCCGGGAAACGCGTTTCCACATTTATACACAAATACACACGTAATGCAAAAGCGTACGATGAGTCAAGGACGTCCGGAATGGGAGGCGATAACACACAATTTTTTTCTTGTGTGGAGTAAAATAGTTGTAATTATTTCATTTTACGTTTCTGTGAGAATATTATAATTACTATACTATAAGGCTCATTGTCATAATGGTGCATAGCACACCCTTCTATTTCACCTACCGACGATCCTAATCCTTCCGCGTGGTCGTCCACGAATTAATATCGTTCTAATTCATGAGTTTCTGGCGGAGGAAGCGAAGCCGGCGGCAATACTGATGCAGTTTAACGCACGGCCTTCCGATATTCGTAGGACCGACCACGATGAGTCGCAAACGGGTCTGCTCCAGTTGCCGACCGCCACCGCGGTCCAGACTCGTTATTACTTCCTATACGTAATATTACATATACATGAATGGAACAACAAACACGTTATTAAATAGATAATTTAAAAAAAAAATAGGGTGCGGTCGAGAACGAGAGTGAATACAATTTATAACACATATTATATATGTACAGGTAAAACGTAATAACAGCGATACCATTATTAAGTTCCCACATAACACGAGGTGTTGTACATATTATGCGTGTGTGTGAGTCTGAAGTAACCTTCGAATGAGAGTGACGGAGTGATGGAGAGAATGTGTGTGTGTGTGTGTGTGTGAAAGAGAGAGAAAGAAAGAAGGAGAGATTTAAATGTAATAAATGCGATTGAACTCGATTTTATTAACCGGAAGACGTGTGTGTGTGTGTGTTACGCAACCGCATCGCAGACGTTTTCGACGGTTAAGACGGAGGATACGTAACGCCACCAAACCCTTTTTTTCTTCTTCGTTATTTCTTCGTCATTTCTTCCTATTCTTCTTCTTTTATAACTGCACTGTGGGCAGTGACGGCCACTCACCTCTAAACCACTCCGAAATGTGACGGCGCTTAATGAATAATGGATAGTCGATAATAACGAGTCAAAGCACGATCGGTGAGCTCACGGAAAACGCTTTTAATAATAATAATAATGTATGCGATTACGCAACGCGCACAGGCCACCGTGTTTATACACGTTAAGGAACACGGTTCTATAGATATCTACATTTGGAATATATACATACGGTGTATGCCTAGAGTAAACGCGCACGGCTGAAGACTTCTGTCGACTTTTGAGCACGTCCAACAACACCGATAACCTACATATGCGTATAAAATAATAATAAATGTAGACGAACGCATAGCACACAAATCAGGCGCATAACACGCGTAGAGAGGTCTCGATAGTGATATAATAATTCCGTTTTCTCTGCCGAAGAATGTCGTGTGACCAGATTACGCGCGCTCGTGTGTTCGGTATATTTCGCACCCATGGTCCGTAGGGCCGTAAAAACGAGTTCGCTTTCTACTGCTACCGTATCCGGCGCGTTCGGGCTTGGTCCGCGGACCGCAGTCCGGTTTTTGTTTTCCGTCGCGTGAACTCCGGTCGAATGGCCGTCGTATACGATGAGCGTATTACAAAACGGTGACATACCCCCGGTGCACAGCCGATCGTATATAAATACCAGTAAATCTGATCAATGGACCATGTAACTGGTATTTATGGCGTGTAAATACTCTTACACCCGTGAGCAACAGGAAAGGGCATAGATCAACGCGTACAGGTCACCCGGTATTGTGTAATGTGACGATTACAGTTGCGTCCTGTACACACACACACATGAAGTAGTGTTGCAACACCCGCGCATCAGAAAGGATAAAACAACAATATTCCACGCGCACACGTAAACATTTTCAGACATCTTTTTCGTCATCAGTTTGCTGTTTTAACGAAACCCCTGTGCAGAGATATGTGATGTTTGAGACATGGTATAGAATATATAAAGGGCAAGTGATATCAGGATCAGCGGAGGACATCGTTATCGAAGAACAATGAGATAACAATAATGAGATGAAAACAACATGCTGAAAAATGATATGACATGGAATTAGACTCAGAAGATTTGCGTCAAATAATAATGAAATGCGTGTTTGAGGGAAATATACCTAGAACCGTAATCGAACAGTTATCCTTAAACTTTTATGAATCAGAAAAGGTGATGTAATTAAAATTTCGAAAAAAAAATTACGAGGAATCAATAAGAATTAAGGAATGAGCTTTAAGTTTTTAAATCAAGGGTAGACCTAACCTTTATATAGGGGATACGGGAACCGTAGTTCGGTATTGCCTATTTGGAATATTACAAAATGCATTCTTCCTCAAGTCACATTAATTTTACGTTTATACTGTACTCGGGAACATCGGATGTGTGTTAAATAATGATGGATGAAAGACGTTTCGTAATATTTAACAGCCCACACCGCATTAATGAAATGCTCAATAGATGTTGGTTTATGCGTTATTTTTTATTTATTTATTTTATTATTTTTTCGGTCAAGACGTAATACGAATATGACGATAACAGGTAGACTCGTAATACTCGTAGTGTAGGGGGAAGTAAGTAGTAGTAATAATCAACCGAATTCGTCGATTTACTCGTACACGCACGCGCGGCGGTAGAGAGAAAACCGGCTCGTAACTTCGCTTACGCGATCCGACGTCGCCGAGGGGGCGTCGTGTGTGACCCGTTCGAACGACCGCCGGTGTCGTAGCCGCCAATAAAGTCAAAACCGGATACGCATACGTATTGCCTATTACAAGCGACGTATGTCATAATTATTGTTATTGCTATTATTATTATTTCTGACCCAGAAACCCAGGGCGAGTTCCATTCCCGGCGTCCGCCGCGTACGCAGACGAATGGGTTATGACTTTTGCGTAATCGCCGGTGATTATTATCGTCTACGTGACGCGCGCGTTACACATAAACGGGCTCGTGGGCAAGGTAGGGTGACAATTGGTTTCGTGCGCCGATTGCGTACGGCGGACAATGATATAATAACGGCGGCGGCGAGGGGGAGAGAAAGAAAATTCCGCCGCTCGGGTTTTGAGCGCGTAAAGGTCATATTGGAACGATCGGATCCCACGTCTCCGGGCCGAACGCCAACCGACTATATGATGTACGACGGACCGCGCTGCCCCGACTACTCCGCAGGCGCTATTCGTACGGTCAAGTCTGGTCCCGATTAATATACATCCTGAATACAATCATACGTGCATTCCGATAACGCGTGCCTGCGCATAACATACGAGCAGCGTGTTTGTGTACCACACGAAAATTAATAATAATTATTATTATTATTATTATTATGTAATAACGTCGTCGTCATCGTCGGCTACCACGTTTTGAATACTACCGCCTAAACCGTTGCCGGCTACTACGTTTTGAATGCGTTCGTCGTTACACAACGAGTATACCGTGGACACAATGGGCGCAGCCCCAAGGTCCTGGGAAACAACGAATAATAACATACGCGCGCTCTTGCCCGGTGGTTATATTAAATACGCATGTCGTCAGTACACGTGCGTGTGTACACAACAATGTGTTTAATTTTTTTTTCTCTTCTTCTTTTCTACGCAGTTCACGGCCAGAGGGAAGAGTTCAAGTGTCCGGACGACTACGGTTTTTACCCGCACAGCGTGTCGTGCGACAAATACTGGAAATGCGACAACAACGTAGCCGAGCTGAAGACTTGCGGTAACGGGCTGGCGTTCGACGACACCGACCCCAAGTATTTGAAGGAGAACTGCGACTATCTGCACAACGTAGACTGCGGCTCCAGGACACAATTGGGTAAAATCAAAAATCCTTTCCCGCGATCCGTACATGATTATTATAATAATATTACGTCAAATGTACAACGTTCGTCTCATTTTCCGTATAGAACCGGCCATCGGATCGTTGCACTGTCCTAGATTGTACGGAATCTTTCCGGACGACGTCAAGTGCGACACCTTCTGGAACTGTTGGGGAGGAGAGGCTAGCAGATACCAATGTTCACCCGGTCTAGCTTACGACCGGGAGTCAAGAGTGTGTATGTGGGCTGACCAAGTACCGGAGTGCAAGATCGAAGGTTAGTAGAGCATATATATTATCACAATGATGTTCCCATCGATTTCGTCCAGAGTATACTACGCTGTCGAGTGTCTGAATTTGGACATTTTTTTTATCTAGTTAGTGGTCATGATGGGAAAGGGTTGAAAATACTAATGAAAAATTGAAATGCTTACATTTTTATTTTTTACACCAAATTAAATTAAAATTATTTAAATAAATTCATACCATCGTAAACGCACAGCCAATAATTAATTATAGTGTAATGCTTCGAAATAATTATTGGTCGTCTGAGGAAAAACTGAAAACGTCTATTACAAAATAAAACTTGTAAAATTAATTACCTTTAATGCTTCTCCGTGAAGTGCTCGCGGCTTGAGAGTATACGTGGTTTTCAAAATAATGTTGAGAGTATACTAAGTAGTATAGCCAATGGGAACACCACTGATTATACAAATATGGTCTTGCGTTTGATAATAACGAGATCTCATGCCCTATCCTGTTGCGCAGAAGTAGCGAACGGATTCAGCTGCCCGGCCGCCGGCGAACTTTTGGCTTCCATAGGATCTTTCAGCAGACACGCTCACCCGGAAGACTGCAGGAAATACTACATCTGCATGGAAGGTACCGCCAGGGAATACGGTTGCCCGATCGGCACCGTTTTCAAGATCGGTGACACCGACGGTACCGGAAACTGCGAGAACCCCGAGGACGTTCCCGGATGGTAAGCAAACGCAACATTAAAACATGTTACATAACAGCGGTTATTACGTATTTTTTTTCTACGCAACTTCAAATTCAAACTCTCTAACATATTATACCGATCCTGAACACAATCCCGTGCAGAGATTTACATTTTACGATTCACAGTTTTGAAAAATAATGAATTTTACTTTTTTATTATTTATTTTCTTCGATACTCTCCGTTTCACACGCACATAAAAACGATAATTATCGTCAGTTAACATGCTGCCTGTTTTCTGATCAAACCACACAGTCCTCTCTCTGGCACCACAACTCTTCGAGAGTTTTCGCCGAAATCTCTTTCCACTCTTCTCGATTCTGTACTTTTTCGTCCCAATTTGGTATCACTAATTTCTCCAACCGCCCACACGAATACTATTATTTCACATATCATATAACATAATGTATTATTTTTAAACATTTTACACTGCGTCCAAACCAGAAAGCAAATAAAACAAACAATATTGTCTCCGCGTATCGATGAAAATCTTACTCCACCCTACCCTCTCGTCGTACGAACTGCGATGGTGAATGTTCAGGTGCTCGTAGAAAAATAAGTAATAACTCGTTGATAATAATTGCTATACAATTATTAACACATCGGCGTGCATGTGGCTGCATGCGGTCACCGTAAGGGTGAAAAGTACAAACGCGCGAGTGCTGCATGCGCACGTGTTACATCACGATATAGACGGACATAATCTAGCACTCGTATTATGATTAAGTTTCTCGGATATTTTTATGAGCGTCGATAGCGTTTTCAAATATTTTTTTATAAATCTCCGCATCTTTAAAAACGAAACGATAATAAAACTGTATGCAAGGTAAACATGTCTAGAAGCTAATAAGTGTATCGATATTTAAAAACCGGCGACTCGGAACACGAAGAAAGTGTTAGTGGTTTATTTCGCTACGAAAGTTATCCAAAACAATCTCATTATTACGACAATACGGTACGATTGTAATTACAAACATATACGTATATATTATTATTATTATTATTATTATTATTATTATTATCGCGATCGTCTAGTGTGAAAACGCGTAGTTATACCTACACCAGCTAAATACGTTATACTCGGTGAACGCGCGCGCTTAGTTTTTCACGGGCCGATTGGTTTCCAAATGCGGTGAGAACGAAAAATCGGTACAATCTCGAAATACACGTACACGTCGTTCGCGACTTTATACCGTAATCGTGTACACTTGGCATAACTAATGACCACGTGCATATCGTACATCTGCGTAAACCGTACGCCCAGTGGTGTACACCACGTGGCACGTACACGCGTATGTTTGCATAAACAATTATCACCCGAAAACAAATTAATACGAATCGTTTGGACCGCAAAAGTGAAAGTGATACGGGGTACACGAATATTTAACATCACACAGTTACCCGCGGCGGCGGTCGAGGAAAAAGTTCCCCGTCGTATGTACAATAACATAATGGTATCGCAATCGATCCGCTCGCGCGCGTACCTACGTGAACAGAACAGTCGACAGCAATGACGAGTGTTGTCGTTTTTTCGTAAGACCCCGCGACTTCCTACAGACATTCGAAAATCAAAATATTTTAACGAACTCTACGGGTGTTGGTACCGTTTCGGAGCGGACAGAACGTAACCGCCTCGGCCGTTGCGCCATTAAAAACCCGTAACGTTTCGTCAAATATCTTTTTACGGTCATCGATTTGAAATCGGTTCGGAGTATGTACTTGCGCAGACACTGTGCGAAACAGACCTTTCGGCGCGCGCTCGCGGTGACCGATCGGGCGATGCGCAGCCGTCGCGAAATGTGCGTTTCCGTGAACGTGTTGTTCAAAGTACGCGTTGCGACCGCTTGTTACGGCGCGGTTGACAATCGACGCGCGTTAACACGACAACAGTGCGCGTTCGGCAACAGCCCGCGCGCGGTAACATCGTTAACGTTTTGTCCTCGACGGCCGATGCGACGCTGAAACGTCTAAAAAAAAAAAAACAATCGTCGCGATTAGCATTCCGACGGTTTGCCTCCGATCGTTTGCGATGCGCTTGTGTTGCACGTACGACGTGTAGTTGGCCGAAGACGGTTCGACGTGGTTTCGAAACGCGCGCGCACGACTACGGTCGGCTTAAACCGTCGCCGCCGTCGCTACCTTGGGCTCGAAATGCAACGCGTTCGACGACTACGAATCAGGTAGACGCGACCGGGTACGTGTAATGGTTTTGTTTTTTTTTTTTTTCAACATTCCTCGCGTATACGGTTTTTTTTCACCCGTCTCCTCTGACGGCATCAGGTTTTCGTTACGCTTCCCTACTGCACCGCGCATCAACATACGAATATATAAACGAACGAACGCGACAAAGCTGTTTGTCCGCGTTACGGGTAAACATGATGATGATACGTACAAGTGTACGCCTATTTCACGCGCAAAACGGCGCGAATTCGCAATAATAATAATAATAATAATAACGATGATATTGTACGTACTCGTTCGCGTACATTGTGCGCGCATAACTGTCGGTCATAGTCCTATAGTTTAAGTGAACAGTAGAAATGATAACGCGGCAACGGCCGTGATCGGGGCGAGAGAAAAACGAAATGAAAAAAAAAACCCTACCTATGTGTGTGCGCAGTGAGGACTACTACGGCGACCTGGACCTGAAGGCGATCAGGAAGAGCGAACTGTTGTCCGGTCTGGAAAACAAGTCCAAGCAGTCGTCGTCGACGGAATCCAAGGCGGCCCCGGCGGCGCCCAAACAACAACCCCAGAGGCAACAGCAGCAGTCCAGCAGGCCGCAGTCGCAACAGCAACAGAGGCCGCAACCTCAACCGCTTCCGGTCTCCTCGCAACCGTCCAAAGACTACGAAGACGCTTAAATGGTGACCCACACACACACACTCATACACACACCACACACACACACACACACACAATCGTGCGCAAAAACAATACGAGGACTTTTCGAAAGTTTTTATAACTTTTTTTTTTTACTCCGAAATTTACGGTTTTTTGAATCGTGTGAGCACCGAATCTTCTGAAGCCCTACTCCCCCCCCCCCCCGCCTTAATACAATCCATCCGGCGTCTAATCTCATCGTCGCTAATTTCAACACGTATTGTACAGTGTTATTAAAGACGATTGCGTATACGTGTATGCATTTGGGGGTGTTCACACAATTTAATACGTTTTTTTATTATTATTATTTTGTTTTATTTTTTTTTACGAATTTTCTTTTAAGACCGACGTCATTCACCGATGTACTTGAGTTCGATCGGTTTTTCCATCATATCCCCTGTGTACTGACCCCTATGTAATTGATATATTATAACTGATATTGATACAATATTGCGAAATGCGCACAGTAATGTAGCAGCGTATACTCGTTGCATAGGGCCTTATACACAATTTTTTTTTTTTTTTATTATTATTAATACACTTAATTATTTTCGTATTTAAGCGCAAAAATCAAAACTCAAAACTGACCGAATATATTATATTGTAACGCGATCAATGTACGCATGCGTTTGTACAACGAATGCACATGCGTATTATTTAGACACCTACTATTCATATGTACCAAACTGTTAAATTTATATATATAAATCACTGTCTTGACTATAATATATATTGATTTTTTTTAGTATAAATATAAAAAACAATAAAATCGATTTATACTATTATTATACATATATAATATATAAATATTGTGTACAAATTACGCTCTTTAAATTTAGGACGTGTACTTATAACCTTTATAATAATTACATTTTTTTTTTTCTATTTTAAGATAATAAAAATATATTTTATTGACTAGAATTAAAAACATAGTTATTATATACGCATTTTGTATTATTGTTCGTCGTCCTCGTCATATACTATACTCTACGATTGTCAGACGCGTACACAAGTGAAGGTTTTAGGGGTTCAAACCTCTCCCGAAATTCAGGAAAATTATTAAATATGTTTTGTTTAGTAAAAGTGGTATATAGATTATATTATTATGAAATTTTACAACCTAAAACCATTCGCAAAATATTTTTTTGTGTACGCGCCTGACAGTTGTTATTCACCCTATTTTCAGTCCTATATTTCTATTGCGACATGAATACACGTTTATTTTAGTTATTTTAATATTTCATTCGACATGAATCTAAATTGCCTAATACTACACATACAACAACTATTATTATGAAACTGGTCACAACAAAGGTATTATCGAAACCCGTTTACCAGTTGTAGCGTTTAGCACAAATAACATAATATTATCGTTAACAATTGATGCGAAGGCAATCACAGATAAATGTACCTATACTGCAATAGGGTGTACGTTCATTAAGTACCTCACATAACTTTGCATGTTGTTTAACAGTACAAAATAACAAAAGTTAATGTTTGCAGGTAGCGACCGATCAAGTAATATTTAATATTGACCACATTATAGCCACTAAGGTCTATAGAAGTACATATTATAGAATTTCGTTAAAACCTTGGTTACCACACGACATGCCATTTGTATAATTGGGTAAACGAATAGTAACAGTCAGGCCCTACAAATTGAACTCGGGGCTCGCGAAAAATCTATTTCTATTATTGGTAATATAATACATAAAATATTTTGGAATATTTATTTATTTATTTTTTTTGGCAAGTAAAAATTCTAGAACTCGGTAAGGCAGTAGTGATGAACTAGACATCTGTATGATAATGGAATAATATGATATCAAATATGTAAAAAAAATGTATTTCACCGTAATTGCATCCGGTTAAATCTCTATATCGCACTATTACGGATACACACACGATTCAATTTAATATTGTGTTGTATACATTATTAAGTCCTATTTTAGCCCATGTCGCATGTTAGTCTTTTACAGGAAATATACCAAAAGAAGATAAATGCAATTTATTCAATTATTATTTTTACTCATTAGTTGTGACCGCTGATCTGCAAAAGTAAACTTTCACCCATGTCCCTCAAATATAATTCAGAATATTGCGTTCTAATGGAACTGCTAATCAATTCAGATTTACGACTCGTAATGTTTTCACTTTGATTATTTTTCTAATTTACAAACAATTTGACAGACCCTGTATGAATAACCATTCATTCATTACACAAATCCGTAAAATACGATAACACGAAGAAAATATTGAGTAAAAATAATATAATACCCAATCTGATATACATCTATAAGATTTTCCTTGATACTTGGACATTTTATCAAATAGTATTTAAATACATATGAATTATTTCCGAATATTTGGACAGATGACTTTAAGCAATTATTCCTATTTCGTTCTTGATTCAGTTACAGACTTGTTATTTCAGAGAACCACATAAATTTTAATACTTTCATTATTTCACTTCTTCTCTCTTCAATGAAGAGAACATTAAAAAAAAAAAAAAAAAAAATGTTAATTTACTTATTTTAAATATAATTTCGATCTTTAAAATAAATAAAAATGTTGATGAAGGAAAACATTTTTTTATCTATTTGGATAATTGGATAGCTATTGTCTAATAATGATAATGGTGAAGTATTTGTCTTTAATACTAAATTAATTTGTTCAGTACTAGTTTTTTTTTTTGTCTCGTTCGAAATAATAGTTATTAAAAATTTGGCTGTTTATGATAAAAAACGAGATACTGCGCATTTCTATAATGTTCCTACTTAAACTTATACCATTATATTCACAAACACTACAACACAAATTTCACAATGTCAAACCAGAATACGTAGGTACTTGATATAATTACTGTTGGAAGTTTCCAATGTCTGTGCTTAATATTTCACATGTAACTTTCATTTTTCATCATTTTTATCAATCTTCACTGAAATTATATGAAATTCCCGATCTTTATGTACAAGAAACGAGAAAAACACTTACCTATTAATTAGAGTTTTTAGATCAATGAAAACTATTGTCTAATTCAGTAATTCTTTATTTTTATTAGTCAGAAATTAAGGTTCGATCTACATTTTTTAAAAAAGTGGTATACAAACATTAGCCACATAAATCATAAAATTTATGTTTTAACTAACAAACATTATCAAATTCGAATTTCGCGATCATAAAGATTTTATCTTTCAAGCAGCATAATGTTAAAAACAAAAACTCATTCGACTCATGGACGTTTTTAAAAAAATGAGCATAACACCAATGAATATTAACATATGGCTTCGTCCATATATTAAATTACTTGAAACCAGTAATAAAATCAAAGATATTTTAATTTTGTAAGCAAACTCATAAGAAATTTAATTTAAAATATATTAAGAATAATTTTTTTTTCACTCAACTCCTACTTTATATACTATAATTATATTCTTAAAATATTTCAAAAAGTGAAATTAAGATTTCTAAGGATTGGATAGTTTAAAAAAAATAATAATTTTACATTATAATATATTATATATGTATAATGTACAATAAACTTACATTTTGATGACTAAAAACTTAAAATATAGATAAATTTTACTTAGTTTGTTTCAACTTTCAAGTCATAGAAAAAGAACTTGCCTATTTTTTAATTAGTTGATAACATATTATTATGGTCAATATGATGTTTTATTTAATAGACATAAAGGTATAAGAAATCACTGATTATGCTGCCATCTCCTACTCAAATATATCAAAAATAACTCATTATTTTCATAAAGAATACGAGTTAGATATATTTATCATAGCATGTACTAACCACTTGATGTAATTATTGTGCAACTATATTTTGCAATTGGAATCTTAGATCATACACATATCAGTAACAATAGTTACTACGCATCAGTAACAGCCTAATAATAGAATAAATACTAACAAGCGTAAACAAATATTAACACTACAATTTTATACAGCAATATGAAAGTTTTTAACATTATTTTAGATCAATAATTAAATACATATAGTGAATATTAAAATATTTATTTTACATTTATAGTGAAGACTACTATGGAGATGTTGACCTAAAAGCATTACGGAAAATTGGATACAGACGTTGATCGACAACACAATTTCTCAACATGAACCAAAGATATTTTGTACAATGCATTTTGTTTTTGATGACAGCATATTTATACATAATACAAACTTGCCAAAAAAATAAATGCTTTTTTAATATAATATATTTGTTATATTGTTTTGATCAAATAACGTAATTTCTTAATTTTATACAAAATATCATTCTAAAACAACAATATTTATATATCATGACTAGAATGCAGTATATAAATATAAATATTTATATACACTTTATAAAATTATATATTACTTATAATATATTGTGTATAAGTTTACATCGATAGGTATTGTATGTAAGCTTATTTAACTATAAAACTTGGTATGTAATAAAGCAAATGAAAATGTTCAAAAAATCACAGTAAGATACATGACATATGGGTAAAATAATAACCCGAGACATTTCGGTTGTGACACCGTGACTAGTCACAAAAAAAAAAAAAATAAATTGAGCAAACAATTTAAAACAGAACACAAAAATAATTAATACACAAATGTAAGCAGCGAAAAAATAATAATAAAAATAATAATAAATAAATAAAAGGCAGTCAACATTTTGATTTTTTAACTAAAGGTTTGCTCGAATCAAAGTGTTGTACAATATTTTTTTTTATTATATTGTATATAAAATGTATATATAAATATTTCAACTCACATTCTTAATAATAAGATTCAGTGAGTAAATTCACCAGTTAATAGACAAATAAGGAACTGGTTACCAGTTAAGTTTCATGTTCATGTTAGATAAACACTGACATAAAATATTATAATTGAATCTCAACATTGTTAGATACAATCTTACAACTTTTCAAAATATAAAACAATAATGTACTGTGTATTAGATAAAAAAAAAATAACAGAAAAAAATTTAAAATAACTTTTAGCGGCATAAATAGTAACTAGATCTAACAAACAGTTATTTATGTATATGTTTAACATTGCTTTTCATAAATTAATATTATTATTTTATAAATAAATTGTCTTTTTTAATTGCTAAATTAAATCCAAAATTACTTAATAATGTTAAAATGCTCTAATTGAAGCTATGTAATTTACTCACTGTTTTTAAGAACAGATTCTTTACGTCTCTGTCCACACAGTAGTTGTCATATATCATTAAATTGGCAAACAACACGTCTACGTGGTTGAGGTGTATACCTTCGATCTTTTTCTTCCAATTTTGGTTGACCAAATAATCGTTGTTGGTAAAATGTATGTAGAGGCGATGATCCACTCTCTGACAAACGTCGTGGAGGAGGAGTTGGTGGAACTGGTGATACATATCGTCTAGATAAAGCTGGAGAACCGTCAAAATTTTTGCGGGCAGGAGATGGAGAGGGAGGGCACACTTCACGCCTTGTAACTAAAGGGGATGCAATTATAGGTGTATTTTGATTTCGTGGTGGAGGACTAGGAGGAGTTTTGCTCCATGGAGCAAACTTGAGGTAGGCAGATATCAGACTTTTCCTTGGACTAGGTTTTGGTGAATCTGGGGTATTGAATTCTCTAGGTATATTACGTTCAAACCGACTAGGAGACACTGAAGATGACCTAAAAATAAATAAATTGCAATTTAAAATAATTAAAAAAAATAATAATAATAAAAACCATTATTAAATAAAATAGAGTATTAAGTTAGCCTCAACAGATTATTAAAACTAAGATTCAGACCTTGAATGATGTTGATTTTGTTGATGATAGAATCGCTGTAATACTAATGGACTAGTATTAGCAGATACATTTCCACCATTTGTCAATTGTTTATATGGTGATAACAACACTGAAGGAGGCATTTCAGTACTTGGAAAACGCTTAACAGGTTTTGGTGAATCAAGAACTGAATTTCTAAAATCATTAACAAATAAATATATAAGTGTTATTTAAATATTAAATAAATATTAAAACTAACCCATTCATTTTATTTTTATCATTTATACTCAACGATGGAAATTCATGATCTGACATCTTACGGACACTAATAGGAACGTTTTCTACAACTGGTTTCACTGATCTGTAAAATAACATTTTAAAAATCATAAAATATAAAATTAGCCGAAAAATCAAGAAAATTACTTGAATAAATTATTTTGACTTATGGCTTCAGCATACCAATCAGCAACATTAACAGTTTTCAACATATACCTATGTAAAAAAGGATGTTCCAATAATTGTTTGTATTTTGGTCGTACTTTGTAATCTTTAATCAAGCTAAAAAAATGTATGAACATAAAATAAGTTTAAAACGTAATTTTATGATTAATTAACTCTTAATATAACATACCAGCTAGATACAAAATTTCTAAATTCTAAACTGAATTCTTGATCATGAGGAAGTGAAGGTGGGTCATCATTTAAAACCCGACTCAACACTTCAAAATCACATTTACAGTCACGATATGGAAATACACCGGTAGCCAATTCAACTAATGTAATACCCAAACTCCAAATATCAGATCGTATATCATAGTCAAGTTGCCTAGGCTCAATTCTTTCAGGCTGAAATTTTAACATCTTAGTAGTAATATACAATAATTTTTACTTTATTATAAATATATACATACAGCCATGTAAGCAGCACATCCAGCATTTTTAGTGCGAGCTTTAGAATCTACCAATCTACCTGATATACCAAAATCACATAATTTTACATTTCCTCTTTCATCTAACAAAATATTTGATGGTTTAACATCTCTATGTATAACATCATGAGATTCTTTTAAATAACTCAAAGCTTGTACAGTCTAAAACAAAATATAACAATGAGTTAAGTCATTCAATTTTATTTTAGTTTTTCATACTAACATTTAAAGCAACTTTGCCCAGTACATCTTCTGGGATAGGTGTCTTAAGTCTTCTTAGAAGACGATCAAAACATGTAGCCATCAATTCCATGCATATGCATACATCTGATTCAGTAATAAATGCACCCAAACATTTAACAATGTAAGGACAGTCATGAGACTTAAGCACCACCTCAAGATCAGTAGTGATACGTTTATTTTCTTCACTGTTTCCAGACCTTCTCATTTGCTAATATAAGAAAGAAATACATTAATCACAAAGGTAATTTTAATAAAGTAATACAAATTCAGCTCACTTTAACTGCTATTTCAGTATTACTGGGCTTGTGCAACATTCTTACAACATGACCACAAGTACCACTTCCTAATTCTCCGAGATGTTCTAAATCCTTCAATTCAGTTTTGTATTTCTGAAGAAAATAAATAAATTAAGCAATTACAATACATCATCTAAAATACTATACTCACAATCCCATTAATAGTCAACAGACCACTCATTCTCATGATTTGTTTCATCTTTACTTCAACTTCAGAAGTGTCTTCAACCCGTGGCTGCATCAATACACTAACTGGTAAATCGATATGCTTACGAGTCCTGGTTGGTGTTCCCATATCACCAACTAAAACAAGTGCAAAAATAAAATATAATTCAAGTGACCAAGGTCATCTGATCAATAATCAACAATTTGATTTGTTGCACTACTATGGACAAAAATATCAAACAGGGCGTCATTTACTTACGTTGTTTAGGTCGTCTTCCCGATCCCTGTCTGGGACTGGAAAGTGATGGCATATCTTCTGTAGCATCATTATCTGCCTTCAGTTTAGCTTGTAGATTCAAAATTTTGTTCTCTAAAAGTGAAGTGGTCATTTTTGGCGGATTTGGCAAAACGCGTTGTCGTAACAAATATTCTCAAATCACCGTCGACATACAACACACAATAGAGCTCATGGTAGGCAACTACAAACAGTAAAAATTTGAAACACTTATTAATACACACCGTTTTGGGGAAAATTTATCAATTATTATTAAATTTTATATTATTTTCATTGGCAGCGAAATCATCCATCAATGGTATTCTTATCATGGACCCTTGACAAGTCTACACAGTAGAACCAATGTTTGACGAACAAAAAAATCGATACCATCGATCAATGGTGCCAACCTGGCCTTGAACGTCTTATCACCTACACACCGATGATAATACACGTACACGAATGATAACGGAAGATGAAAAAACAAAGACAATTATACATAAATGTGGCTATTGACTGTTTAAGAAGTTATTCATCTACTTCCGTTGAACACCATTTTCTGATCAGCATTGTTAAAGATAACCACTGAAGTTTCACATTAAATGGGTAAGGGCAATTATTTATTTACATTTAGGTTTATTTTAATATCAATTTTGCTAGTTGTCCTGTCTTTGAATTTACGCCTTTTATTATCAAACCCAACATAATTCAAACTAATATTTATATTTATTCGTTATTCAGGTATATAGTTTCTAAAACTCATTTAAAATGGGCTTAACATTATCTACTGTTTTCACCCGTTTGTTTGGTAAGAAGCAAATGCGTATACTGATGGTAGGCTTGGATGCTGCTGGCAAAACTACCATACTCTACAAGCTTAAGCTAGGCGAAATTATTACTACTATACCAACAATTGGCTTTAATGTCGAGACCGTAGAGTACAAAAACATTGCGTTCACAGTTTGGGATGTGGGCGGCCAAGACAAAATCCGGCCCTTGTGGCGGCACTACTTCCAGAACACTCAAGGATTAATATTTGTGGTAGATTCCAATGATCGAGAAAGAATAGCTGAAGCAGAACGAGAATTACACAACATGTTACAAGAGGACGATCTCCGAGATGCTGTACTATTAGTATTTGCCAATAAACAAGACCTTCCCAATGCAATGAATGTATCAGATCTTACCAACAAACTTGGACTGAATCAGTTGCACCAGCGAAAGTGGTACATTCAATCTACTTGTGCTACACAAGGAAATGGATTATATGAAGGATTAGATTGGCTATCCAATGAACTAGCCAAATAAAATTGCACTTTTGTGCCAACTGTCACATCCATAAATCACTGTACAAGATTAATTATTTTCTAAGTTTAATCTTAAGAAATTAAATATTTATTATCATTTATTTATTTCTTTGTTTATAAAAAAAATATTTTAATATTGGGTTAATTTATAAGAAATCATTTTGTTTGATGGCATTTATTTATAAGTATAAGTCATCTTAAAATGATTTAAAATGTTGGATTATAAAATTATTTCTTTTGATTAAAATAAAAATACAAAAGAAATCATAATATTAATGTTATTTGTTACATAATGTTTATTAAATATATTTAATTTTTAAATTTAATATTCAATTTTCCTCTGATTAACCATAATATGTCAATAATAACTTATAATTTATCGGGTCTACCCTTAGAATAATTTGTTCAGTTCAACTAATTAAGTTGTGATTTTAGACATTGAAAAATCGATTATATTTCATAACTTGTTTATTAAATTATAAATAATAAAATCCCAACATTTGTACAAAACAAAACATTTTATTATTTATACCTAATTTGGTTGGCATATTTTGCCTGTTTATGAATAATAAATTATCTTTATAATTAAAGTAAATACATTTATTTTGAAACATATTTTATACGTTTCACAAAGCAAAGTAATATAATATATAATGTTACATTTTTGTCGTCATTTTCATCTCTTAACAATATTTTGTTCTTTTCAATTCAGACATTCAATTCATGCAGACAAGTTCTGCATTTTAACAATATTGAGAAGAAATATGAATTGATTGTAGTTACTATTATTATGATAAATTAAGGAGCATAGTACAATCGTAAATTTCATTTAATTGCGTCGCAAACATCCCCCAACCTATTTATATGCAAGTGCTGTTATCAGTGGCGACTCTTGCTATGATGCACAGTTGAGATGGGCAAAATACATCGATGTTTTTATTGCGATGTAATGAAAAAAAATCAAATTTTTCCTTACCGAAGTCCGATGTTTAAATAACGTAGTTATTTAAACATTTTACAATTTATACATAACATCAGGGGCAGATTTAGGGAGGGTTCAGGAGGTCAGCTGACATACAGTTAATATTTGTAGACAAAATTTCTCTTTTTTAGACCTTGATTTGGACTCTTGGACAGTTGGCCCATTGGAATTACTTGAAAAATGAATGCCATGTATATTCAAAATTTAAAATTTTTCAATTCATAATTTATATTTTAAATTATATCGTTTTAGTAGAAAATTAAGAAAATCATATTTTATTCCGTACGTTTGTTGCACTGATAAAATTAGATTATATTTATTAATCGTAAATAAGTCATTATCGGTCGTATCACTAATTCTAAAATGTAATATAAATATACTTATACATTTTTATGAGCATATTGTGTTTTTTTTTTTTTACAAGGTATTCATTTCTAATTCAGTTTCATCCCTAATAAATGGCCTCTTGAAATGGCTGGACCCACAGTTCCCCGACTCTGGATCCGCCCCTGCATAATATACATACATGTAACATAGATACAAATTTTCTTAAAACTTATTAAGGTAAACATAGATTTTTTTATCGAATATATCGGTCACCAACATCGATGTTTCAAATGTAGATATATCGATACATCGGAACATCGATGTTTCAAACTTTTTGCTCATCTCTTATGCACAGGACCACGTGAACCAAACCAAAAAAATTATATAAAAAATTATTAGATTATAGTATATTATAATAGATTGTTATGTCCATAGTCTGTAATTAACAAAATATTTGTTAAAAAAAATTTTTACCAGCTTTTCGTGTTAAAAAGTGTGTATATTAGTGATTAAATAATTAACGAAGTACTCTTTCGTTGTGCTCCGGGTGACAGAAGTTAACTACATGTATAGACACGTCGGTTAATAATACACGGTCGTTTGGAACACAATCGAGTGTGCACCGGACAGTTTTTATCGTTTGCGTATCATGTCGATCGTGGAAACAAGATTTTTTGTTTATGTCTGATACATAATAAGTTATTTTTTTCCAATTTATTTTTATCTTACCGCGAGGAAAAGCTTAGGGATCTTGAGAAAATTATATGTTGATAATTACGTTATATGAACCCATATCTATTATAAAACTAATATTTTTTTACCCATTAATATAGGTATCTTACAAATTTTTTGTGAATCACCTTATGTGAACCTCACCAGCCGCCGCTGGCTGTTATCGGTAACGCTACAAGAATTAATATTCGCGTCACGCGCGTATACGAGAATGGCCACGAATCCAAAGCGTGTTACGTATTATTCACGAGGAGGGGGCAAACAAAAACTTATCTAATAGTATATTTAATATATTTATTGTGCAATAAATCCCCTGTTCTTAACCAATTTTTTCATATCGGCTAGGATAAATAACTTAAATGAATTTAAAAAAATATTTTAATTTAAAATTCTTAATTTTATCCAAGTACGTTTATTCCTCATTAAATAATTATTTTAGTTCTCGGTATCAAAACAAACGGTTAACATACTTGTCCTGAGTGGGTTGCACTATCTATGTCACATTAATATCATTGAACTCTAGATTATTTAAAAAATATTTTTAACTGTGTTGAAACGACGGGTGTACCGAAATCAAAATTACCGTTTCAACAAAATGTCTGATGGCATACATAATAATTTATTACGTCATCGATACATCAAGTACGATCGAAGGAAAATCAATTATGGTCATGTCTCCTCGTTAAATTATATTGAGTGATTTGTCGCGTCAAACAGATCTTACGTCAATCGGACTAAGAACTCGGTACCTATACGTGCCAATGACCGACCACAATTTCTGGTCGCGTAACCGGAAATTCCATAGAGCGAGGCACTGACTTCAGACTGCCTCCAATATAATTAATTCTTTGTGATCTACAATAACCTTTTACTGATTTATTCGAGGTCATTCATATGGGTCCAAGATATTTTTCAAAGAAAAACCACAAAGTAGAGATAAAATGTTTAATTAAATCTATTTACATTAAGATATAACAACATTTGACAATCTGCACAGTTTGTAGTACCGGCATGCATGTTGGCTACGATCTATCATAATATAATAAGTATAACAATAAATTATCAGTCATTTAAAAAAAAAATCAAACTAATTCTATACAAAACATAATTCATCAATGTTATAGAAAATTAAAAATCATACACCATATTCCTCATTTTTAATTTTAATTTAAATAAAAAATGACCGGAATCAATAAATGGCAAACCGTCGACACTGTAGAATAGTGGTTCGTATACATCAAGGGTGGTAAATTATTTGAACGCTGCGTGCCAAATATTACCTTTTAAGGGAAGAACACTATCTGTGCGATGACATAGCTTTTGTGAGACATTTTAATTTTTGAGCGATGTATGAGCTTTTTTTTTAAATTATAATATACATAACCATAACTCACTTGAAAACTATAATATCGTACAAAACCTATGTCATTGCAAAAATAATGTTTTTCCATTTAAGATACAAACCGTATCCAAGGATTCCAAGGTGCGACCTATTTCGTATAGAGTGATTTCCAAGACGCGAAATGTCGCAGCGGCACAAATGTTTTTCAATCAAAATTCATACTTAACATACGGTTTTCGTTTATTTTCGAACTTGTCACAGTACTAATGTTTTTTTAATTAAATTCTACGATGAATAGTTATATTTATAATAATAATAATATTCTTCTAACACTTTTATTATTAGAAGAAAACGAAGACCAAATTATAGGTCCTACTTCATTAACAAAAAATAGAAAACCTATACAAGAAATATTTAAACATCGGAAAAATGTAGGATTTTATGCAATGATTTTTATTCAATTTCAATTTTATTCAATGCAAAGAATCGAATTCTTTCGTACCTCTCATAAAAAATTTAAATTTCGTCTTCGGATGCAAAAAAAAACCAAAATGGAAGCCATTATGTTGAAAATTTACAACGATCGCTGTGAAATGTCCCGCGGTACTGCTCCCGAAGCAGTAATATCGTCGATCGCTGCGACCCAAAGTTCGGTCATTGTGGTTTGTCGCGCGTTGCAAACCAATCCATATGATTTTCCTACAAGCAGTTACCAACGGACATGTCGCCGCGACAAATCGCGCCTTGGAAACCGTACCTTTAAGTTTGGTAGTAGGTAAGTTAAAAGTCGGTCCCATACGAATCGTGTAATCGGTGAATAATCGTCAAGTATGGCGATTATTTTTACTCGTCGAGTCACTCGTGGATTCCCATCGGTTGTCGGTAAATGTGACACTAGTCAAAGAAATTATTATACTCCGTGCCACAAGAGAAGTAATCCATGTCCCGACCGAAATAATCGCGTTTATTGATCGGAAAGTGTAGTACGGGTAGTGTAGGACCGGCTTAATATTAAAGTTAACATCACTGTATTTGAACTACTGAATGCAAATTTGCCATGTTGTATCTGGTTAGGCGGAGACTGCTAGTGTAAATATACATTATTAAATTTGTTATAAATTATTGTTGAAACATTGGCATTTTACTTTTATTAACCATAATATATAAGTATAAACATCCATGGCTAAGGAAAAAAATTATTACCTAATAAGAGAATATCGATTAGACAAAAAATATAATTGATATACTAAACAGTCACAGAGAAATCGACTTCAACGTGTGAGTTTTTGTTATTATTATAAAAGTTATTTTTTTTTCTAATCAAATGAAAAAAGGATAAAAATAAATTTACCTTATTAATTTTTCCTCTGGCACTTCCTGAATGCTCTGCGTTCACATCGATCTGTTTTCGTCCGCTGCAGTCACTACTTGCAGTACGCCGTCACACGACCAGATTGCTAGACATTAAATACTACACTTTAAAATTATGCTGAAAACGAGTTGTGTCCCATGTAATGTTATTTTAACCTCGTCAGTTGCGTTTCATTGTCGTTTGGTATTTATACCTGATAATGACTTCACTTGCGTTTATTCGCCACTTTCGATGTCAATTCGTTTGTGTAGCAAAATGGAATTATTATATTTTACATACGATTTACATACTGATTAACAATCAGTTACATTTTTTAAATTTTATTTAACAATTCGAACCTGCATAATGTTTTTTTTAAATCACACACAACGCAAAATAACTCGTTAGATTACATTCATTGGTACCTAGTAAAGATTAAATACATAAAGAATATATTATCTATACAGTAGTTATTAATTATACTATGTTTAAAATCGGTTGGCAATATAAAAAATAAAATAGTGTTTTGGAAAAACCCTAACTTTAAAAAAAAAAACACTAAATCCAATGTAATAGTATCTACATAGAGATTATAAACTATGTCTATGAGTCAGTTACTATGATTTTAACTTTAAAGGCAAGTCTACTGTCCAATACTCCATCGTTTCAATGTTAAATAGAAATAATTAAAAAAATTAATAACTTTTGATCGCATTAGTTTAATTGACAAATTATCCTCATCTACTACCTAATTAACATGCCTATAGACACAATTTTAGCATGAAGATGAAAAAGCGAGATTTTGTGACCAAATTTTGATTTTATATATCCCTAAGTAAAACGAAAACCATAATACACAAAGTAACAACTTAATGAATATTATGTGTACTTAGATGAATAGATTTTATCTCAATCTCAAACACAAAATTCTGAGATACGCTATTTTTAATCTGGTGGTCTACGAAAATATTTAGGGAGACTAAGCATCCCTCTAGTTTTACCTATAGTTTCCAATTGTTTTTCCTTTGTAATTGTCATTAATACAATGCATGTACGATTTATATGTGAAAGCACCAAAATAACCAACTAAGAAATCATGAAAAATATTGCCCATAGGTTAAGGGTTTAAATTAATAACTTCTACTTCATGTTTAAGATAATTAATTTAGTGCTTCTTTCAAGTTTATTTTGTGAGCGTCTACATTTTTCAATAGAGAGCATTTTTCGCCCAATCGCTTATCGCTCGTTGAAAATTACAAACCTTATACGTATATAATATAAGTAATATAGGTAAAAGTTAAGTACTCAACCGTTCCCTTAGTCGAGAAACACCAAAAAGTGAATAGTAATTGATAACAAAAAACTAGGTTATGTTATTACTATAATATTATAATCACTTAATATCCGTACGGATTTTCAACACAATTTATGTTTGAAAATATCGTAGTTTCAATAGAAAAATTTTCCAAATCCACGAATTATGATATAACTTAATTCGCCCAACGGTTAGAAATCAATTATTATTGTTATTATTGTTTATATTTTCTCATCTATATTTGTGCACTTATTAATATTCGTATTGTACATCAATGTAGATTGTATCGTTATAATTTTTTTGATTATTGTGATTTCAGATTAATCTTTTTGAGTTAGCTATTTTATCGTAACAATAGGTTGTTCATATTTTACTGTGCATATCATCGATTGATCATCATGGATACCCCCGTAGAGTTGGAACCATTCATCAAAAATGGTTTAAAACTGTTACGTCGCACTAAAGATCCAAGTTCCATTAAAACAATGTTAAAACATTTGGAAGAAGTCGTACAAGAACAGTACGGTGGAAAACGACAACCAACAAATGCTGCAAAAAAATTAGCTGTACCTACCATCCTTTTATCAAAAGAATTGGGTATTGAACAAACGGAAGTATGTGATTACTTATGATGAAAATTTAGTAAAAAATATTTAGTTTAAAATGTTTTTAAAATTCTGTAGATGATTGTTGATGATGAGTCTAGCAGTTCGAGTTCTTCATCAAGTCTATTACCAAACACGTCTAAATCCATTGTAGAAGTGTGTTCATCTCCACCACCTACCATTACATTGGAACAGGCTAAATCAGATCCAGTCATAAATATTGATTCAGATTCCGAAATGGAAACTGAAAACATAGAGTCTTATTCCTGTTGTGTTTGCAAGTATGTAAATAATACAAATTGTTATGCATTGAATAAATATTAAATATTTTATTCTATTTTTTTATAGAGACAGTTTTGTAAACATTGGAAACAGTCTGGTAGAATGTTTGGATTGTCATTCTATGTATCACCAAAATTGTCATACTCCACCAATAACAGACATTAACTTAAATGACCCACGAATTGTTTGGTACTGTAGCAATTGCAGACAGAGAGACTCACAAAAAGTAGTACGTTTAATTAATTTGGGACCCTGCGTTTTAGTTTTCTTAAATAGTTTTTCTTTTCGAAGGAACGCTCATCAGGAAAAGAAAGTAAGAAAAGCTCTTCTAAAAACACTTCTGGAACGAAAACAGAAAAATCATCTAGTAGTAAAAGTTCTCATGGTAAGTTATTTTTTAATTAATGACAATTTTAATTACAATATGTCATTAATTACATGTTTTTTATTAGGTGTTAAAGGAAGTCAAAACAAGTCAAAATCATCTTCTGCCAATAGTAGTCCTAAACATTACCTAACTACTCCTGTGCTGTCTGTTGTGGAAAAAAGGGTTCAAATGATGAAAAAGAAAGCTGCCAAAAAATCCGAAAAAAAAAAATAGAAACGTAACAATTTTTGTATTTAGAAAAATTAAGAAAACTGTCCTAAAAATTTTAAAAAACATTATAATAATAAAAGTTATTTATTTTTTGATAAAGTACGTTGTTTTTCAGCAAACTCCACAATCTTTTCTTCCACTGATAAACCTTTGCGTCTGCGAACAGCATTCATATAATTTAAAGCTCTATTACCAGAATCTGCTTTCTCTCCAAACAGTTCTAATTCTTCTTCAGTATTTGGTACCCAGAATGGATCAATATCAATCACCTATAGAAAAAAAACAATTTAAATTAAATTTTATAATTACAATAATTTACACAATTAATAATTACCTCCCAGTGACTAAAAACTAATTGTGGACTTGCTAAACCAGAAGTCTGCTTACGGATTTCTGCAGCAAACGAAAAACTTTCAACAACTGGTAATAAAGCCGTTATATTGAAAGTGGATGCAGACCCATGGGTCATATCAGAACTGATCACTCGTCCATGACGTCTACCCAAAACCGCATACATTTTACCTGAACAATAAAATGTTAAACTTGAAATCAATTAAATGCATTAAAAATTTACCTAAAATTTCAGCATTTGCTTGAATTGAACAGGTATACATAGCCGCCATAAGTCTTTGAGGTTGAGCTTGAAAAGCTTTTCGACATCCATCTTTCACGGAGGACATAATTTGTCCTGACATCGGACCATAAGGATCTCTATTTTAATTAATATATCAATTAATCACATAGTAGAATTATTGAAAAATTGTCATTAAATTACTTACGAACTTATTTGTTTTGAAACATCAATAGTCCAATCTTCAACAACAAAACATACACCTGTCATTGGTTCTTCACATAAAGGACCAGCAAGAGTAGCAATTTGAAAACCATTAACAAAACTATTTTCATACTTGGTCAACATTTCATTCACATTATCTTTTGGGCCCCAAACTGATCTTGAATAATCTGAAACCAATTAAAAATAAGCTATTTGAACTCTGAAATTATTTCAGATTAAATATGATGTAGGTCATTACTTGGTATTTTATTTAATAAAATATTTGGACCACATTTTCTAGGTCCAAATGCCCAGATTTGAGAAACATCTAAGCTAGAACCAAGAGTTTCTTGTAATTGTGACCGAAATGTATCAATGGCTACTTTTGTATTTTTAGAAACATTATCTTCAATTTTTAATCGTTCTAATACATCAGCAATGTTTTCCGTTTGCTGCTCAGACAGTGCTTTTAAAATATCAGTAGATTTCTCCAAAAGAACAGTTGTAGCTGTTGGTAAAGGCTCTGCACGAAGCTTAATACAACATAAATGATTTGATGTATAAACATTCAGAAGACCATTTGAATTTTCTTCCATCTCATTTTTCTGAAACATAAAAAGATAGTTGAATTATATGTTCTAAAAAATTATACAATGTTTTAGTTTTTCAATATTATTACCTATTATTTTTAGAACAATATAAACATCATTTTTAAAATCAAGCATTATTCAATTTTATTAAATAAAATACTTACTTGATTATGGTTATCAACAATTTCGTGAGCCATGTCTATTTTGGGTGGTTCTACAATTGTCTCTCGAAAAGGCACTATCGGAGCAGAAGCAACTACATCGACTTTTGCATACCTAATAAAAATATGAAAACCTTTAAATATTATTGCACACATCTTGGTTTAGCTTTCAATATAGTAATTTATAAAATATAATGAAATATACAATAAGAAAGCATTATTAATGTAATCAAAGGACTCATTTGACATATTTTCATAAAATGCACAGCCAATATTAAAAATCTTAAATAATCCCAGTTTCTTACCTACTATTATTACAAAGTAATCATCCAACTTATTGTTAACTATACTTCTTCTAATATTTCTTTTATTTAAAAAAAAAAAAAATGTTATTTTTATGTGCAATATTTATTCCTTTCTCTTAGAGTAAAGTCTAACCGTCTTCATTTATAACATTGAAGTCATTTTTGGTTAATTTTATAAGTTCAATTGCATTTGGTAGAACAATTTTTATCTAATTGTAATTCACATGAAACATAGTGCATTTTTGAAGTATAATTTGATTACACATAGTTATGTGATGAATTCAATGGTGGATATTTGCCATACATGTCCACATGATATACTTTTGAAGCTTATTCACTATCATCAGTAGATATGTAAGCTAATATTACAAGTACTTCTGTAAATCTAAGTTTTACTTTTATTTAAATGTCAATCAGTAATATCACTTTGTATTCCCTAATTTTTCTAAATTAAGTACATCTACATTATTTTTATTTTTTATTTTTTAAATTTTACAAATAACTCATATCTTATCTGACTTGTCTCCATTATAAATTTATAAATATGAGAATTATATCAAAAGAATTAACTATTTTAGGATTATCTTAAAAAGTAATTACTAAACATAAATTTTAATCAATGAGTAAAATAATATAAGTAAATATCATGGAATAAAATTTCTTTAATTCTAGATTGAACACCAAAGAGTTTGCCATCCATGACTACTACACCATCATAATATTGAGAAATCTGTTTTAAATATTTAGTTTTTGGTAACATGTAATAATGATAATTTCTTTAGCAAGGGTTTTTTCATCTGAAATTTTCATGTGATAGCAGCCTAGATAGATAGATCTTTTATTTATTTCTATTGAAAAATCTAACTTTAAATAATTAAATCCATCTTTTTTTTTTAATTTTCATATTTCTAAAATTTGTAGAAAAAAATCAGTGATCCCAATGATAGTATATTTCAGTTCTCTGCAATCAAAATTAATGGAATACTTAATTTTATGAAACAATCTACATTTACAAAAAAGTATGTTAAAAAAAATGAATGGGATGCAAATTGTACACCCTTGAATCCTGCAAATGACACATTTGAATGTAATGTAACAAAATAAACATACTCATATAATCATATTATATTTATGATATAGTTAATCATAATTGAAAAAACAATTTAAAAAATAATAAATGAAAAATGCCAAATATACAAAACTTGTATTCATTGGTTATTTGTTTATAATACACAGTCTCGGTAGAAAGCTATTAAAATAATATTGCGAATAATGTGCACAAGTTTCTATACACTACCATAGTACCATTATTCTCATAGCCTACAAATGGCAGTCTTAAATTATTTTTTTACTTTTACCTTTCGCGCAGATCATCCAAACATTTTTGAAGATGCACTTCTCCAGCAGTGACAATTACGTGCTCACCAGTTTCTTGCATAATTACCTACAGAAAATAATATCAAAATTAGTATAATAATTAAAAATATATTATATTATAAAATTTTGAATAGAGACGAAATTTGTTAATTTATACATAAATTTACTGGATATTTTTTTTATGATTTTCATTCTCATTCAAAAATCTAAATAATTAATAACTTCAATATTTCTATTATTTAATTAAAAAATAATAAATATTAACATTAAAACAGATTAAAAAAATGGTACACTTAATTATAAATATAATTAGATATAAATCGGCTAATATTTGTAAATAAAACTAAAAAATATTATGATCACAGAATACCTGAACACATGCATCAGCTTGATTAAGTAGTTTAAGGCCTTTGATTAATTCTTGCAAATCTGATGAATGTTTTGGTTCTACTGCAACTCTCATAATTGGAGTGGCCATTGCTTTAATTTCAGTAAATGGTGGACAAGCTAAAGTTGTAGATAATGTAGCACTCTTTAAAATATATTGTTCTAAGTTACCGGCACCTAATAAAGAATCATTAATATATGCAAAGTATAAATTTCAATTAAAAAAATATTATACCAAATATATTGCCAGCAGGAACTTCATCTACTGGTTCCAAATCTCTACCCATTAACATGTAAAGCTCTGTTATGGTGGTTTTCATAACATGCTCATCTGATTTTAATGTGGCCAAAGTGCATTTTTCATCAACACAAAAATCCTAAACATCAATATTTTTTTTTATTTGAATTATATATTTTAAACAAATATGACACAGTACCACACTGCCTCAACACAAATCTTAAATTCAAAATTAGTAATTATTATTTTTAATTGTACTCTATGGCTACATATTATATTTCATTAACAAATATGTCTCTAATAATTACTATATTTGATCATATTAAAAAGTTTTATCAAGCTATTTAAAATAATTTAAATACTTTTGTCTTATTTATTTATTTATTTACAAGTAGGTGCACACTTTAGAAAAGGGTCAATGGGACGCCTATCAATAATAGTTTTATAATTTTTACATTTTGAATTTTGCTTTGTTATATATTTTAATAGTACACATTAACTACATTTAACCCACTATAAAAACTAACAGTCAAACAGATAATAAAAAATATTTATAACATACAAATAACATTGAATGAATCTTTAAAAGGTTAACGTACTATAAATGTATAAACTATTTTAAATTATAAACATTTTATATTTTTCTTTACATTTTACACTACAAATATTCAATTTTATAATTACTAATTAATTAAAAATGTTTAATTGACATACAGATAAGTTTTTTTTTTAATTATTTTATTAATTATTATTATTTTGTAGATAAATAGTTTATTTAGCTCATTGAGACAAATAAGACATAATATTGATCCAGTTTTTTTCTTTTATAATGCAATAAATCTGTTTTAAGAATTGTTGACTTTGTTACATTTTAAAGAATAAACTGTAAAAAAAAACATACTTTAAAAGACAATTTTGATGGATCATGTTTTGGTCCTAAGACATACACTTCTTGGCCACGTCGAATCGTTCCACTATAAATTCTTCCAAATGCAATAAACATGATATCATTCTCATTTTCAGTACGTTCCACAACTTTGAGCTTATTTTCTTCAGTAATAATTACATTACTATTAATCTCTGTTACAGAAGAGTCTTCTGTTTTTAATTCACTATTTTTTAACATATGTTTAATTCTAGCTAACTCTCTTCGTTTAGCTATTTCTTCAGCAGTTAGAACTTTTGGTTTATTTTGGGGTAAATATTTTCTTTTTATCTGAAATTAAATAACAAAAAATATAATTATTTTTGTTTTAAATTTTGTATAAATACTGTTTCATTCAATTTATAGTAATTTTCGGTCAAATTTTTATTCTTTCGAAAAAATTAATATTTAACTTAAATATGTATAAAACTATACATATTATATTTTAGTAAAATAAAACCAAAAATACATTTTTTCTTCTTTATATATTGAAGTAGAATTATTTTTTGAAAAAATTGATCATTGAATCAATTTTACAATTTATAAATTTAAGAATTCAATAATCACTTGACATGGAAAGTGAAATAAAAGTAAATACCATCTAAAATTGAACTACACTGCTTTATTTCTTTAAACTTTTAAATAATAAAATCTATTTTTATTTTGTTCATTAAGAAATAACATCTAAAAAACAACTTTTTTCTGCTTTAATATATATAAAATTAAAATATAAAAAACCATTTAAAAAAATTTACAAAAATCATTTACAAAAATAATGGCAAAATTATTTTAGTATCAAAATGTTTGGTTGAATAAAAAAATCATATAAATATGTAATAAATATTATCTAACAGATTATAATCACATATATATATATATATATATATATATATATTAATGATAATAAACACATTTATATTAAACCTTATAAAATAAATTTACAAACCGGAAACATTTTAGAAACAAATGCTATAACTGATACTGAATCATCATGACAACATTTTGAAAAATCGTTTTTCAATGCAACTGTTTCTTTTGGCATAACTTTAAATTCTTTCATAGGAGGACAGAGTAAATTTTCAATTTTAACATCTGTAAGTTGATTTGGTGCAGGACACTTATCACATACCATACCTATGAATCAACATTTTCAATACATATTTTAGTTTTATAAAAGTAAAACTAAAAATCAATTATTTGTATAAGAAATAAAAACTATTATATTCAAACTAGAGACTAATTAAATGCATTAACCTAAAACTGATACAGATAAAGGAATCCATTGAGATAAAAATGATTGCAATAGAATTCTTGTATCTGTTTGACGCAAATCTCTGGCTAAAAGTGTTACATTCATGTTTTCTGAAATCTTTAATAAACGTTCTTTATCCTGAAAAATTAATATTTCATTTCTTATTTGAAGATAATTTACATAATGTAAATAGATAATATAAGTGACAACTATCATTTACTTTTTGATTTATAATGACATCATATATAAGCCAAATGTTTTCAAGTATCATTTGAACAAAAATAGGTTTCTTGGCTTTTTCTTGTGCACCTTTCATAATTCTTTTGGTCTTGGAATGTAAATAAAAATCTCCCCATAGAGTCTTCTTTAAAACATCCACATTAACACCAAGTTTGTTTGACAGTAAATTTGCAAATGTTTCTATACTAAAAACATTGTAGTAAGTATCAATTCAAAGACAATTTTCTATATTAATAAATAAAAAAAATATTTTCATTTAACTAAAATTTCTGAAATAATTATTTTAATAAAAATAGAAATACATCTTGTTTAAAATTATATAAGCACCTAAGAGTAAAATCAATAATACTTTAAACTAACTCAAATCTCATATCAAACATATTCTATTATTAACTTTAAAATGAATAACATATTCTTTAAAAATAAATAAATTATATTACTTTCTTTGAATATTTAAATCATCTATCTTAGAACATGTCTTGCAAAATTGCTAACTACATTTCTTTATAATGGATATACCTAAATGCCCATCCATCAGCAGCAGATGCGAAAACCACATTTCCTTGTTGTGGAGAAAAATATAAATCTGAATCATCAGCTGCTTCTATAGCTGTACTCCAATCATTATACAATTCTTCACCAGACTGAACACCAATATCAACATTTTCTTTAGCATCAGCTTCTTTTTCAAAAACATCTTTTTTGAAAAGTTCTCCAACTACAGCATTAATCTATATTTTTAATTTTTCATTTAAATATTTTAAACTAATAATAGAAAAAAATAATTTTAAAGTAATAAATGTACTTGTTCTAGAACTTGAGTTAAATGAATATAGGCATCTAGTGGTGTTAAATTTAATTCTAATATCAATCTATCAATTTTGTTTAACACCAATACAGGTTTTATATTTTCTGACCAAATCTGCTTTAAACATGCCTAAATAAAATAAAACGTTATAACCATGGGATATCTAAACTCAAAGATCAAAATTAAAAATTAAAAAAACAGAAATAATATAATATATATATTTAACCTGTGTTTGAGGACAAACACCTTCTACAACATCAACAAGAATAATGGTTCCATCACATATCCTAAGGGCAGTAGACACTTCAGAAAAAAAATCTATATGTCCTGGACAATCAATGACATTGATAAGATACTCAGATTCACCTAAAAACAAGTTAACGTTTGTATTATATTTAATAAAAAAGTATTATTCAGAACTAAATTAAATTTTACCTTTGCAGTGATATAAAGCTATAGATGAGCTTTTCATAGTGATTCCACGTTGTTGTTCATCTCGCCTACTGTCCATATATCTTAGTTTACCGACCATCTTTTGAGATATAACACCATTACTAGCAACCAAAGAGTCTGCTAATGTCGTTTTACCATGATCAACATGAGCCAAAATACAAATATTACGTATTGAATCAGGCTTATGTTGAAGTTCAATTAATTTATTTTGAGTTGCATCCCTCATTTTTATTTCTTCTAAAATATTTTATCAAATTTATATAATAATATTACAATAAAAATATTTAAAAATAATATTTTACTAAAATTTATAATTTACATAGTTACTATTAGCAATACATGTGGCAATCCACGTCCAATAAATTTTCAAATGCAACAAGTTATCTTTAAAAAATAGTTTTATTAAATTAGCTATTAAAATATATAAGTAATCTAATAATCAAACGGAAATTAAGTATATATTTAATAAAAAAATATACAATATTAATAATGAAATAAATAAATATAATAAATGAAGTTGAAATTATCGTGAAAATTCAACGTTTTTCAAAATTAAATTTGGTTATCAATTATCACCACGCATCACCATAGTTATCACTTAGAAGATAAGACTGTGATAAAATATATTAAATCACTATCACTTAACCTTAAACAAATTTTCGTTAGTCTAACCTCATTGATTACGTTGTTGTTTTAGCGGTAATTTTAAATATGTGTATCAAAATTCTGGATCTTTTTAGATTAACAATGAACAATAAACAATTGAACAATTTGGGAAGTACAGAAGATATATCCCAAGTCTGGTATATATAACATCAAATTTATGAGTTGGTTTGCCTAATCACATAAGTATGGTTTTTGTGGAATTTAGCTTAAATACCTGTAGACCGGGTAGTTGAGGTTTTACTGATTTACGTGCATTTAGCCATTTTATCTTAACTTTTTGTTGTCACTAGTTATTTTTAATTTTTACAAATAATAAAATAAGACACAAATTTTAATAAAGTCGTAGTAAAGTAAGACATCTATAAAATCAGAGCAAAACATAATTTTTTCTATAAATTATTTGTTTTTAAAAATTGTTTATTTCAACCACCTATAGGTAGTAACAATATTAATTATGTAAGATATTAAAAAATAGTGACATTATAGTAGTTACTGTAAATAATAAGTAGTAACGAAAAATATTTTATCAAATAATCATATTTACGAAGTTCCGACGGATGGTGATAGTCTACTAAATAATATCCTACCGGTTGATTTTCCCAAATAAGAAAGATTCATTAGATATCAAGTCTCAAATTTTCAAAACCACTTGCTGCAGTGCTGCTCCTGTGCCTTTATGAGAATGTAGAATCCAAACTTTAAAATTATATATTGCACTAATCATATTTAATAAATCACACATTTTAATTATATTAATGAGATAAATATGTAATGTCGTTGGTTATAAATACTATAATAGTATTTATAATCAATGGTAATATGTATAAAATATCTATTAACACTTATATTGAAGGAAAATAACAATAATTGTTTCATTGAATTAAAAAAAGTCTAATTTACTCAGATCGAAAATTACAACCATAAGGTGAATGTTCTATTTAGGTACGCAGTGCTTACTATGCCATAATAATTAATATTAACTTGTATTGAAAATGAAAAATATATTAAAACTCAATGAAATGATACGGGAAAGTTAATTGTTAATAAATATGAATATATAATTTCATTTATTAATGAATGAATTAAAAAAAGTTAAATTCTATTGTTATTAAATACAAAGTATGCATCAAAAAATATAAAAAAAAAAATATCCCAGAATCAAAAAACTCCGAAATACGCATTTATATTGATGTGCGTTATAATTATTACATAACCAGCTTTTCATAAACGTAATTGTTTCTTATTTAGTTGTTTGTATGATTTTGTAGTTGTGTGAGACAATTACGTAAATGTTTCTGTGCAAAAATAGTCATCTGCCCTATTGATAACTTGTAAAATAATATTGATAAAAAATGTTTTTCTTTTTTACAATCAAAGCGGCGAACGCTATACGACTGATAAAATATTAATTAGACACGTCCCAACCAGATTCAGTTTTGTCGATCAGTATTGCTGAGTGGCCTTCAATTTTCAATGTGAACGCTTTGCTGTTTACAATAGTTGTCGGTAAACATTAAAGAAAGCCGTGTGGCAAACCAATCGGGTTGGAATTTTATCATTTTTTTAAAACTTATTTCAATTAACATATGCGTTAAAAAAAAATCATAATTACATGCTCTATAATTAATAAATATATTATTGAACATTTTATACATATTAACAGTAATCAGTAAATGAAATAAATAACTTATTTGTATAGTGTGTTTTATACCATTATATATAGGGTGTATTTATATAAAATATATTATATATCATTTATGTCATATTCTTATTCTTGAATAAAAAAATATAAATTTATTATTATATTTTCTTTTTTTCACGATTACGAAAAATGCCGCAATAGTTCAATGCGTCATCCTCGAATAAAAATTTGATCAGAAGTACTATTGTAACTTCTTACTATCCATTTACCACAGTTACTATAACTAACCTAAATACAGTAGGTACCAGATTTTTCATATTGAAAATAAACATTATTTAAGTCAATTTTTTCGGCTTGATTTTAATGATGATGGGACTAGTCGATCGACAAAATCAATCAGTGAGGCTGAATACAAAAGGGACGTAGAAATAGTTATAATTAGGGCAGAAGATTTATAACTCTAAAAAATCACCAAGTATGCAGTTATAAACATAAAATATGCATTTTAAAATTAATAATATGCATTAAAAATTTACATTTTAAAATTAATACTCTGGAAGAAAAATATGGATTTTTTCTTCTGTAATTACTTATTAATTTAATGAATATGTTTTATTTAAAGTTTAAGTACAACTTACATGTTACAATAAGTATTAAATTATTTTAATTTATGGGATTATGTGTTTTAACCATTTAATTATAGGTTCTGAAGGAAGTGAAAGATCAGGTGCGAGGTGCTATATTTTTAAATATTACTACACGAGAAGGCCCTTAAAAAAAAAAAAAAAAATACATTAGAATTTAATAACATTATTTTGGTTGTATAAAAAAATAAATAAAAATGTTGACGAAAAAATATTGATGAAATGATACGATATGATAAAATATGCATCTAAAAGGATAAAATGGAAGAAATATGCCCTAAAAAGTAAAAAAACTTAAAATATGCATTTATATGCAAAATAAAATTTCAAAACTAGTTTTGTGAAAACATGAAACGTATTTGTTTCGTACTCTGCTATTTTTGTGACTGTAGTAAAAAATATGCAAATGCTATAAGTTCTCTGCCCTAAATATAATATAATAATTTATAATAGTAGTACATGCACCACAGAATATGTTAAATTAATTATTGTAACATAATTTATGTAGCGAGAGAGGATCCAGGGTGGACGCGATTGTCCAAATCCCTATTAATAACAAAACCATGAGAATTCAGGACTTATTAGACGTTTTACATATACCTACCAACAACGGTTTAAAATTGATTTAAAATAATTAAAATATATTTTAAATCGTAATAGAAACCGGATAACGTGTTATCTTAAATGAGTGTTCTTCAAACTTTAAAAGACATCCACTTTTATAGTATCAGTTATTTTTATTAGCTCCTGAACCACGTAGAACGTAATTATAATATTCGACGGTATATCGCTGTAAATTTCAATGTATACCACTACCGGGCATTACGGCCGTATAATATCATACTAATATATGTATTATTGTATTGTTTATACATAATGCTTTAGTGTGTACGCACATCCGGAGACGTGCAAAGTGCAAATTAAAAGCAATTAAACGGTACCGACCATCATGGTACATGAATGTGTAAATATACATACATAATACGGTGTAATAATACGGTGTTGTTCAGTGAACTAATTATACATAACATGTAGGATTAACACTCGGATTTTTAATGAGAAGAAAAACAATACCTGATATTGTTATGTGAATCGCATAGATAACACTGTGGACCCTACATATTGACATACACATATACATATTGGCGTAAATAATACGAGTGCGTAAAAAGAATGAGATGGAGAGAGAAAATTAAGAAAACAATTCCGCCCGTTCGTTCTCTGTTCAACTTTCCGCGATAACTACTACGGACGTACATTGATAATGTAAATTAACGAGAAAATCCAACGGATTACAATATTCACTGAATCGCACCACGAAGTTGTTTTATTATCACAATCGATTTATAAAACGCGTACAAAGTACGGACTTTAACAAAAGCCGTTTTGCCGTTGTCTCAGCAAGTACTCAGTAGGCACACGATTTAATTACGCGTTTACTATGTTTTTCTTTTGGCATTCGTACGCGTTTCTCTGCAGTATACCTACACCTACAATTATAATCATACAATAGGTTAAACTATATTTTATGATATAATTACGTCTTAATTTCTTGACCAATAACTTGATACAATAACTACGTATTTATTCTCGATGTATTTTTGCTGTACTCTGTGACTACGACACGTCGCTGTCGTTCTGTATTCATCATACGTGTAATATATCCGTAATCCATCATAACCGCACACGTTGACGATAATCATCGATCAATGATTGATAACAATCTACAATATTATCACGCGTTTTCATTATTTCAAACACATCTCGACCTTGTTAGTATTATAGGTACAGCGAAAGCTGTACACAGTGCCGGCCCTAGGGGGGAGGGGTAAGCGGTGCGACCGCACCGGGCCTCGCGTTTGTTTGAGGCCCCACATGGGCATATTTATGGGGGGGGGCTGAGGGCTTCAGCCCCCTTCCCCGAAATCTAGGAATTGTTTATTAAGTTTGCTTATTGTGTCCTATCAGATGTAAATCGTAAAAGTTCAATATAATTTTATAAAGAATTATTAGTAACAACGAACAAGTTATTCATGTCTGACGATTTTGATCGTAACGATTATACCATTGAGTTCGGTACAATTTGCTTAATTTTTACGTACGGTACTGCTGCATTATCGTAATTTCGATTTCTTTTACCTAGAATTGATTTACTGATATACACGCATTGTGGCGTCTCAATCACCGTACAATATTTATAAGAGCCCTTATGAGCTAAAAAATTTCCGAGAAGTAACGGCGACGACCGATGATCACAGTGATCGGTTTACGTCGTATAGTAGTTACTTGTTTTCGCTATTATAGGTAAATGTTGTATACTAATTTTCCAACTTTTGTTTTTAATAGGCTGTGAATTGGGAAATTTCAGTTGGAGAAAATACCACAGCCCCCCCCCCCCCCCAAAAAAATATCTAAATACGCCCCTGGGGCCCCACAAATTATATATTACGATTATTATTTTATTTGTAAATAAAAATAATA